TAATGGGGCTGCCACTGATCAACCCAGGGTCTGCATATGCTGTCCCCAGCAAAAGAGGTCTTGTGCAGCAGATTTGCTAGTGCAGTACGTAGTTTGATTTCTTGACTATTGCTTCCATGAGTGTTGATAGTGGATCCAAGCAAAATGAAGTCTTTAACAACTTCATTTTTTTCTCCATTTATCATGATGTTGGAGTCCTGGTGTGGTGCTGTGGTTTACTGTGCCAGACTGCAAAGCCATTTGAACTGGAAGGTCAGCAGTTCAAGCTCACCAGCTGCTCCTTGGAAACCCTATACAGGGTCGCTGTGGGTCAGAGCTAACTAGAGAACACTTAACAATAACAACAATCTTGATATTATTTATTGGTCCAGTGTTGAGGATTTTTGTTTTCTTTACATTAAGGTGCAACCCATACAGAAGGCTATGCTATGGTCTTTGGTCTTCATCAGTAAGTATTTTAAGCCCTCTTCACTTTCAGCAAGCAAAATTGTATCTTCTGCATATAGCAGGTTGTTAATGAGTCATCCTCCAATCCTGATGCCACATTTTTCTTCAGATAACCCAGCTTCTCTGGTTATTACTCAGCATACAGATTGAATAAGTCTGATGAAAGTATACAACCCTGGCACACACCTTAATTTTAAACCATTCAGTGTCCCTTTGTTCTGTTCAAATGGCTGCCTCTTTGTCTATGTACAGGTACCTCATGAGCACAGTTAAGTGTTCCAAAATATTCATTTTCCAGTGTTGTCCTAGCTTGTCATGATCCATGCAGTTAAAAGCCTTTACATAGTCAATAATGCACAGGTAAACATCTTCCTGGTATTCTCTGCTTTCAGTCAAAATCCATCTATCTAATGCCAGCAATGATATCCCTCATTCCACGTCTTTGTCTGAATCCAGCTTGAACCTCTAGCATTTCTCTGTCAATGTACTGTTGCAACCGTTTTATAATTTAGAAAAAATTTTACTTGCATGTGAGATTAATTATTTGTCTGATGATTCCTACATTCTGTTGGGTCACCTCTCTTTGGAATGGGCATAAATATGGATCTTTTCCCATCAGTTGATAGGTAGTTGTCTTCTAAATTTCTTCGCATAGATGAGTGAGTGCTCTAGTGTTACATCAGTTTGTTGTAAGATTTCAATTTGTAGTCCATCAATTTCCAGAGCCTTGTTCTTTGTTTAATGCCTTGAGTGCATCTTGGACTTCTACTTTTTTTTTCAAGTTTTTATTGTGAATTGAGTAATGTTTACATGGGAGAACATTGGTTTTACTCTTATCCTATTGTATTTCATTTTATTGCAATAATTACAGTCCCCTCGAATTATCATTCAGTAGTATTTGCTTCTATTCCTTCTGGGGGTTTTTTTGGGTTTTTTTTGGATGTACACAAAAACACTCAGGAATATATAATCATTTAAACAACCAAAGGGCACATTCTGCAAGTCTGCCTCCTGGCCACCAACACACAGCTTTTCTCTTTCCGTGAGTCTAGAGTCCTCAGCTGTTCTGTCTCTCCGTGTCATCATCTCTGCCTCCATCTCTGGTGTCGCTGCTTCTTTGGATAGTATCCCACATTCCACTCATGCTCTTCTCCCTTGATGGTCCTAGGGTCCTCTGTTCCTGGACTGTAAAATTAACTACTCTCCTCTTTTTTGTTACAAAATTTCTACCTTTACAATTATGACCATCACAATTAGTCATGATAACAATTACTCACTATTGCATAAGAATCTTATCCCCATCTCATTTCACCAGACCCATCTTTTGTTTGTTGTTGAGTGCTGTCGAGTCATTTCCAACCCATAGTGACCCTGTATAGGGTTTCCAAGGCTGTAAATCTTTATGGGAGCAGAAAGTCTCATCTTTCTCCCATGGAGCGGCTGGTAGTTTTGAACTGCTAACCTTAAGGTCGCAGCCTGATCCATCTAGATAAGATGAAAACTATTCAATGGGGATTCAGCCTTCCCTGCACACTCTGAAACTAAACTCCCTCTTGAAAACTTGTAAGCTAGTCACTTCGTGTCTTTATTACTCCTCCTCCCCCCATTTTGGGTATCATTGACTTAGTTGCCCATCCCTATCAACCCTGTATACAGAGGGGTTAGGAATGTTCATTGATGTGAAGATTCCTTCCTTCTCAGTTGGTATTTTGAGCTATATCCATAAGTATAGGTCAAGTTCATTAAATTGTAGCAATATATGCTTGTTTCTTTCATCAAAATTTTTGTGTCTTCCTCTAGTTGAGTTTTGATCATCAAACCATTGAAGCTAGGTCAAATGGGTACTATCTTCAAGTTTGGGTGTGGACTTCTTATTTCAGTATCATTGGCTCTTGATCATATGTTAACTCTTGAAATGGTTGAACATCGTCCATTTCATTTTGGTACTGTGACTCTGTGTATTCTTTCCATCTTCTTTTGATGCTTTCTGCATCATCCAATATTTTGACCATAGAATCCTTCAATATTTCAAGCTGAGGCTTGAATATTTTCTTCAGTTTCCTCGGTTTGAGAAATGCTAAGCATGTTCTTCCCTTTTGGTTTTCTAAATCCAGATCTTTGCACCCCTCATTATATCCTATAGTGCCATACATAGTAAGTGCATAATATTTGGCAACTTAATATTTCTTAGCACATAATAACATTTATATTCTTTTTTTTAAATATAATTTAAGGAAAACTTCTCCTTTCCATTATTTCATTTGACCTTCACAGCAGTCCTCTGAAGAGTAAGGTGTTGAGGATAAGGAATGAACCATTTTCTGGCAAAGTATATATGGTCCCTTCAGTGTTTGTTCTAATGCTTCCTGTGGCTGTGAAAGATTAATGAATGGAGTGGTTAAGAGGCATGACCAAGATTACACAACTAGTCTTACTTATACTCAACAGATATACTCACTGTCTTTGCTGTTTTTCCCATTATAATAAGCCTTACCCACATTCTCAGTGATTGTGGAGAAATTGTTGCTATTGTTTGGGCTTTGATCTTCGTATCACAAATCAGAGCACACAGTCACAGGATTGTATTTTTGTTCACATTGTTAACTTGATGGCAGGGGCATTTGGGAAAACCATAATGAAAGTGTCATTCTTAGCCTGGCATCCTTGGATGTTTTCAGTGCTTAGAGGGTTTGTGGTCCTAAATAGTACCATGATAGACATACCAGCAACTTCCTATCTCCCTGGTAATGCCCTTTGTAGGAGTTTATGATCCCACAATATATCATGGATCCATTGGTCCCAAAGAACCCAGGCTAAAGGGGAACATATAATCCGTCAGTACATTTTTTATTGTTCTGCTGTGTGTCTAGCACTAAAGAGTGAGGACACGGGGAATATCTACAATAACATAGCATTTCCTTTTGGGTTAAATGCCAAAGGAAAGGAAGGAGTCTGCTCAACAGGTCATGTGGAGAAGATGTGATTTCAGGAGGGTGCAATTGAAAGCTGCAGAGAGGGCAGCTGTGTGAAGGCCAGGAGCAGTAGGTCCAGAAGCAGCTCCATGAGTTAAGGCTGACTGAGAGGGTTAGCAGGGAGGCCTGGTCAACCCCAAGAGCTGAAGGGCCGTCATGGGGAGAAAAACAAACTTCTTTGTAGCTCCAGAAAAATCACAACCAAAAGGTGGAAATAACAGAAGGAAGAACTTTCTTTTAGAAAGAAACAATAAAATCCTAGTAGTTTATTCTTGTTTTTCTGATTATATGGTTAATGTGGTTTTATGGAAAAATTTTAAAACATCAAAAGTAGAAGGGAAAAATCATACTACTATCCAAGACAACTATGGCTAATCTTGTTCCTTTTTAACATAGCTGTGATAATAGATTTATTTTAAAACCAGTTTGTTATTATGTAAATATTATGAGATGATATATTTTCCTTCCTCATTAACATTTCTAAAGTCTGCATAATCTCATATGACTATCAGAACCAACTCAATGGCACTTAACAACAACACATTATTATTAGGAAGATTGGTGTGGTGCTGTAGAGTAAGCACTGGACTGCTAACCACAAAGTCGACCGTTCAAACCCTCCAGCTGCTCCTCAGAAATCCTATACAGGATCACTATGAGTTGGAATCAACTCAGTGGCAGTAAGTTTGGGCTTTTAGATTTTTACATTATTTCATCATTATTGGAAACTCAGGTGTTGTTAGTATTTTTGCTCAACAGAATCTGTGATGAATATACTTGGTTTGAAGCTTTTTTTCTCATATTTTGAATTTTCTTATAGCAAATACTAAGAAATAGAACAAGTCGGTCTTTCTGACCCTCAGAATTGCATAACTAAGAAATATTTTGGTTCTTTCAGGATGTGGAGAGATTGAATGTCTACCTTTCAGGATATTGGAGAGAGATTTTTTTTATCAGGTTAAACTTTGGACTTGGTTACCACTATATATCTTTTCTGTTTTTTATTCTGTGGATCTACTAGAGGATTTGAGAGTCCTGTCTGTGAAGCCTGTTTGGTTTGGGGAGAGCCAAGTTGAGTGTCAAGGGACTTGAAGTATAATTAAAAGTTCCAGACTGGCTGCTACAGGCGCATACTGAGCAAGTGACACCTGATGTCTTTCTAGCTGTGTGCCTTATTCTTGCTTTCAGGATATGCTGCCATCATCTTCATACTCACATCTACATCCCTATTTATTTTCTGGTGAAGCATACATGACCCCGTCAATGTTTGTTCAATTCTTCCTGTGACTGTGAGTCACCGCTTCCATCTTCCCCAATTCCAGAGGTTCTTCAACACTATGGAGCAGGATTAGCCTATACCATGAGTCACAGGAAACAAGCCAGTTCACTAGGTGGACTGGTGAGCTGTTTTAGGGGTAGAGTCAGAGCTCTGAAACTGCCTATTCCATCTGCTAAAGTTAATCATTTTTTTTTCCCCCTAGGAAATTAAATGTATGACTTGTGGGCCTGGGCTTGGCTGGAATGCACAAGGGTCCTGAAGATCCTTCTATAGCTCCCTTCTGTTTAACCCATTAAGAGACGATGGCAAAAGTCAACATAACTAGAGACATCATCCATAGGCAGATCAAGGTAAGCAACCCAGACATCTGAATGAGAATAGAAAGTCCTTTCTTCCCTCCAGGTTCATTTTACAGAGGAAAAACTAAGGTCTGGGGTAGTGATTTGTGTACAATAGTGACATATCCAGTTAGTGACTGAAGACTAAAATCAAAGACATAGAATTTATGGAGATTCTTCTGTCCACGTGCTTGTACATGGGCTTTTGAGATTATTATAATAGGGACTGATGAGGACGGAGAGCCATCAGTGTAATATGCATATTCATGCTCGTGTGTCTCTCTCTCATATACATGTGTGAGAGCGAGAGACCTAAAGTGGTCAGTAACACTGAGACCAGAAGAACTAGATGGTGTCCAGCTAGCGCTGCCAACTGCTCTGAATCATAAAAAAAAAAAAAAGACCAGGACTTCCAGCAAGATTCCGAACTAGGCGGACACACTACGTGAACCCTCTACAGTAAGATACAATAGACAAAATAAAACAGACACAGATGAAAATTCTGGCACCCTGAGCTTCAGAAGAAAGGCTCGAGAGGTGGATGGAGGGCTTGCCAGGAGAAGAGGCTGAACAGGGACAACAGGAGAGGGTGACAGACTGGGGAACAACCTGCCAGACATGACTCAACCATCTCGTGAGCAGCTTTAGCAGCAGAGAGAAGCTTGGCATTTGCATAGGCAACAGAAAAGCTGCAAATTCTTCTTTTTCCCCACACTCCCACTAGTGATCAGAAGTGTCATCCTCATCCAACCCCAGCACAGACCCTGCTCTCTGGGAATTCTGAGCCACATGGTTGGGAGCCCTGCCAGTGTGAGGTTGGGGCTGGCTGGCTGCACCACATTGGTGCTTGGATACAGGTGGTCTCGGCTCCAGACCTACATAACCCACAGAGCTACCAGACCAACATTTAACCACTCATCTACCTCTAGCTTCACTGTGGTCCTAACAGACACTGAAACCAGTTCCATCAAGGGCTCCCACAAATTACTTCTGGATTGAGAGCCCTGAACACAGATAACACTGAGGCCAATAGGAACTCCATCTAGGGCCAGGAATTGCGTGAGCTCCTTGAACTTCAGGAACCCCACAGAGATCTTCCCCCTCTGGGTTCAACAAGTGCACTCTTTGTCTTTACAAATACAACAGCTCCACAATGCCCCAGAAATAACAGAAAATTTTAGCTCACATGAAGAAACAAGAGAGAATGGCTCAAACAAATAACCAAGATGCAGAGCCAGAAAACGTTCCTGAGGAAGAAAAACTGAGAAAAAAGAATTCAAAAGTGTAATAATTAAGTACCTTGAAAGAATCGATAAAAAGATCGAGGAAAACAGGGGGAATACAGTAAAAACGTCACAAGCTTTCAGAAAAACGCTACAAAAATGAACAGGCAAAATAAATGCAAGTTTTGAAACAACACAAAACCTGCAATTAAAAATCCAGAACTTGAATACTAAGATCTCAGAAATGGACTGTATATTGAAAGGGTAAAGGAATAGATGTGAAGCAATGGAAGCCAGAATTAGTGAGCTTGAAGGTAAATCTCTCAATATGAGTATGCTAGAAGAACAATCAGAAAAAATAATGAAAAATTTCAAAGAAAGCTTAAGAGTTATGTGGGACATCACGAAGAACAACAACTTAACAGGTGATCAGAATTCCATAACAGGAAGAGACAAACATAGAGAAAATTGTCAAAGAGTTATTGGAAGAAAATTTCCCCAACATCATGAAAGATGAACAAATCCAAAACAGGATAGATCCCTAAAGAAAATCACCAAGACATATCATAATCAAACTCTAAATTCAAACATAAGGAAACAATTCTGAGAGCAACTCAGGAAAAATGAAAAGTTACCTACAAAGCAGAACCAGTAAACTGAGCTCTGATTTTTTCAACAGAAACCATGCACGAAGGCAATGGGATAACATTTACAAAACTCTGAAAGAAAAAAATTGCCAACCAAGAATCATATATCCAGCAAAGCTGTCCCTGGAATGTTGTTATTATTAAGTGCAGTCAAATCGGTTCTGACTTCTAGTGACCCTGTCTGTACCGGGTTTCTGAGGAGTAGCTGGTGAGTTTGAACTGCTGACCTTGTAGTTCGCAGTCCACTGCTGATCCTACAGCACCATACCAGAAGTCTGATGTCCCTCAAATACAATGGCAAAATTAGGACATTTCCTGATAAACAGAAATTAAAAGAATTTATAGTGACCAAACCAACTTTAGCGTGGTGGTTATAAATCGGGCTGCTAATCTCATAATCAGCAGCTCAAAACAATCAGTGGTTCTGCAGGAAAAAGATGAGGCTTTCTGCTCTTGTAAAGTTTTACAGCCTCAGAAACCCTGTATAGTTGGAACAGACTCCATGGCACATAATCACCACTAGATCAACTTTACAAAAAAATGCTAAAGGTTATTCTTTGGATTGAGAATCAACAACAGCAGACAACAACCTGAGGTTATCATACATGGCAACATGTTAACGTGTAACAGGGAAAACAATATGCAACAAGAGGGCGGTTAGCAGAGGAAAGAGGAAGGTAGTGGAAGACACAGTGAGGAATCCAATAGTTATAGTGAATAGAGGTAACTGTTGGTATGTGAAGGAGATTGCAGCCATGTAATGAAGCAAAGTGTATGATTTGTTGAATGTAAAACTGATAATGTGCTCTGTAACCCTTCACTCAATTCACAATAAAAGCTTTGGAATTAAAAAAAGACCAGTCTTACTGGAGATAGAGACTGGTGGGAACCTCAAGACTATGGGCCCTTGGTCACTCTTCAGGTCTAGAACTGGACTCACCTCCATGGCTACATTTTTAGTCAAGCAAAAGATAGAATTATGCGGGGGACAACAACACTAGTGAGGTATGCACACCATTTGAGATCATACATACAGCATTTCACTAAGGACAAAATTCAGAAGAATGGGGAAAGAAGGTGGAATGGACACAAGAAACAGGGAGGAAGCAGGATAAGTGATGTTACATTGAGCAGATTGCAATTAAGATGAAAGGAAGATTATGACTTTTTTAATGTAAAACTGGTGATCTGCTCTGTAAGCCTGCACTCAATTTACAATAAAAAGTTTTAACAGTGTGGGGTGGGGGATGTCATCTTAAAGCAGTAGGAATACATAAAGCTTCTTTGCATTGCTTCAGTTACTAAGTTATACATATAACAAGACCTGCAAAAGTCTTAGTCCTAGTTCCGTTTAGAGTCTTTCTTTTCTTTCAAGGGTCTCCTCTACTAAACCCTACAACTGCCCTCCTTAGTTTTTACATAGAAGACACTCGAATACTGTGTGATGAGTGGATGACTGGACAGTCACATGTAATTAGTGAGGTAGCCTCAGGCCCTCACTAAGCCCCGGGTAAGAAGCCAAAGAGATTTAAAGGAGATTCAGTCAAGGCATAATGTGCTTCTTTAATAAGAACACCAAGCTGGGGTTAGGAGCTTAATCTCACCCCTGTCCTAATTAACAACTTCTAAGACTTTAGTCATTTTACTTACCTGCATCTCAGTTTTATGTGTGCTAAATGATAATACCACCACTCGTCTTGTCAGTTTGTCGTACTGTGATTCTGGAAGCTATGTCACTCACCAGTATTTTAAATAACATCAGGGTCACCCATGGCGGACAGGTTTCAGATGAGCTTCCAGACGAAGACAGACTAGGAATAAGGAGTGACGAACTACTTCCAAACATTTAGTCACTGAAAACCTTATGAATAGCAGAGAAACCTCAGGTTGGAAGAAACTCAAAATACGACTGGGGAAGAGCAGCTTCCCTAAAGTAGAGTTGACTATGATGCAAATGGAGTAAATCCTGTGGGAATAAAGCCTACAGGACTTTCATTTGTTGATAGGGCACAACTCAAAGAGAAACAGCTGTAAAAATACATTGAAAATCAGAACATGGAATGTACAAAGTGTGAATCTGGGAAAATTGGAAGTTGTCAAAAATGAAATGGAATGCATAAACATTGATATCTTAGGCATTAGTGAGCTGAAATGAACTGGTATTCACCATTTTGAATCTGACAACCACATGGTTTACTATGCTGGGAATAACAAATTGAAGAGGAATGGTGTTCATATACAGTCAAAAAGAACATATCCAGATCAGTCATGAGGTACAACGCTGTCTGTGATAGGATAATATCTATGCACCTACAGGGAAGCCCAGTTAATA